GTTTCAGTTTGCCCACTGCCCGGATCAGCTCTGGGTCTGAAGTATGCTCGGCCAGATCAAATCGGGGGCCCTGAAGAGCGGCAAAGACCGGCAGTGTGGCTTTCACCCCCTCGTTGTAGCCAATGACGAAGGAGCTATCCCCAACATCATATAAGAACTTCTCAGCCAGGGGCGCACTCTCCAGAACTCGGACCCCAAACTTGAGCCGATCCTTCGGCGCCTGCTTCTGCAGCTCGGCGGCGAATACATCGCCGAAGGCGCCGCCGAGATACCTCTGGGCGGCGATCATGAATGCCCCAGAATTATGGTACCCGGTGTCATCGACGAGCCACTCAGGGGCCTCGTCCTTGGGAGCGGGGAGAGCTGGGACGAGCTTGAACCCGGCCTTCTCGAGGACCGCGAGCTTCGCGGAGGACTCACGGGCTACCTTCAGGGCGGCCTGCAATTCTTTGTCTTTGGCCGCCAGCTCCTTCTCCTGAAGACGAGCGGCCTCTCTCGCCTTCTTCAGAGCAGCATCTGCCTTATTCCTCGCCTGGAGGACCTCGGCATCTCGGGCAGCCTCAGATTGCAGAACAGAGAGCCCGACCTACAAATCAAATGCGGGGGGTGAGACTTCGAAACATTAGAATGAAGTAATCAGGCACCCTGTGTGGAGCGAGATCTTACCTGAAGAGCGGCAGCCAGAGCCGCATTGGAAGCTTCCGAAGACGTGCGGGGAGGCATCTCCACGCCGGCCAGGGAAGCAACCTCCTGCCAAACGTCGTGCGCCGGACGTCCGAGAGAGGGGAGGATCAGCCCTTGCCCTTCAGGGGCCGAAGAGCCGGTCCCCCTGGGCCTTTTGGACTTCTTGTCCGCTTTCTCCCCCTCCTGGGGATGGACGGCCTGCAGAGGCGCCACGGCTTCGGGAACGCCAGGGTTAAGGATTGGGGCCTGGGACCCCTGTGCCATCACCGTGGCAATAAGGTGCTGTTCGGCCTCCACCGTACGACGATCGGCCTGGGAGGCGGAAGAATTGGAATCAGCTGCCTGGACGGCCTTGGCCTTGGCAAGGGCAGCATCGGCAGCAGCGCCTTTGCCTTTCCTCGTCTTGAGGAGCTTCTCGGCGTTCATTTGTTCTTGGGTTGGGGGGAGACCTGAAAGAAAAAAGAAGGGAAATGAGTTAGATGGATGGGCGTCAGGAAGGACTCACCTCGGAGGTCAGGACCGCCCAGTACCCCGAGACGAGCGTAGGAGGAAAGATGCCCGAGAGTATGGGCGGTACCTATTCCTGCCGCGGCAAGTGCTTCGAAAGATAGGAAGTCATCCAAGGGCCGGACGCCGCCCGTCGAAATCTTCCTGATATCTTCCGCCAGATCGTCGGTCAGCTCCGGGGACCCTATCTTGGGCGGATAGCCGTTCCACCGCAATGGCAGACGAGCATCTGCATACCGCACAAAGAAGAACCGATTCTTCCAATCATGGATGGAACTCGGTGCCCCGCTGAACAACCTCCGTTTCGGACGGGCTGCAATGCTCAGGAAGCCATCGGAATTTTGGGGGGTGAGCCGGTAGAAGTAATGGAACAGGTCCAAAGTGGCGGTGACCCCATTGTCCTTGCAACGGACTAGGAAGGCGGAGAGCCACCGATAGGAGTTCGGCATGAGTTGTGCGGGGGCTATCTGGTAACAACAGAAGAATTCCACGAAGAACGGATGGAGGGGGAAGCGCAGCCCGGCCTCGATGGAATCCAGAAGCACCATAATCATCCCTGGGCGTCTCCTCATCACGTGGGTTGCACCACGTAGGCTGTATACGGACGGAGGGGGGAAGAACACCTTCAGTTTGTTGAGGGCCACCTGCGAGAAGATCTGCTCATGGCACAGGACATTCTTGATCGGGCACAGATGCCTCTCCACATCTATCTTCAGCCCAAGTTCGAATACTTCGATGTCGGAGCCGTCCTGAGCCTCAACCCCAGAGTCATACCCGTCTGGACGCTCGTCCTCACCAGCGGACTCCTGTTCCCCGGCATCAGCCACGGGGTCCACTACATCAAGGGCCATATCCCCTTGCTCCCCCAAATCAGCACCTTCTTCACCAGAGACCGTCACAGAAACCACATTTTGGGCCTCCCCGGCCTGAACAGTTCCCACGGTAGGGGCTGAGCCAGAACTCCCGGAGGTGCTAGTTTCGCCCGAAGAGCGTGAACCGGAGTCGGAGGAGGAGCCCGAGGAGGAACCCGATGAACCCGAACCAGAACTCGACGAGATCTCCATCGAAACCATCTCGGCAAGAATTCAAGACAAAGAAAAGAAGCAGAGGATGGGAATACCTTAAAAGGGGGTTAGCCGAGCTTGAAAGCGGGAGAAGACTTGAAGAGCTGCGGGAATGCGGAAGCAGGAGAGCAGAAATTGGGAACCCTAATTCAGAGGGAAAACCCGGCATTTATAGGAGAGACACCGATGGGGGGACCAACGAGGGGCGGACACGTGGCAAGGAGCGTATTCCGGCTCACGCGCTGTGCGTGGGACGAAAGCGTAATGATGACATTTCCTCGGAAAATGCACCGCCGCTACAGCAGCCGTCACCTCGTTTCCTGAACCGTCGACAGCTGTTAAGCACCATGACCACGGGCGTACGCTTCCACCAGACGCAATAAAACACAAGTATCAAGACACGAACGTCTACGTCGGGGCACCTATACTTCCTTATGTCCTGCGCATGCTCAGAACATCAGAAGTGGGGGACTTGTGTTGGGATAATGGCCCAGGCTGAGGTCCGGCCCATTAACCCCCTTTTTTATCGGACGCACGTCCGGTTAGGACACCAGGCTGGACGCAGGCCCATGACCCTTGGAAAGAGACGGACGTCTGGAATTGGGGGGTTCAGGTTCAATAGGCCCATCACGACGAACGTCTGTTCAGGGACAAGGAGCAGGACCACGACTATCAGGGATGACGACGAACGTCCCCAGAGCGGCCCGTAATTCTACCAGTAGGAATCCAGTCCACATGGCGAGAATCCATTAAGGCCAGGGGACGAACCGCCGAAGCCTCTTAAGGGTCACATTTGGGAATCTAGCTCGCTGCCCGGACGGACGAACGTCCCCACTATTTAGGCGGGAAACCTAGATTCTGGCGGGAAGTGCATTTAATGCAGAAGATTTGGTGGTTGGGACACAAACGGTCCACAGGCCTCCACGTCAGCATGGCCACCTGCCCATTGGTGGGTATAAATAGAAGCATTTATTTCATTGTAAAGGGTTGGCAACCTTCTATTCTTAGCACTCTAGCTATAGCATTCTTACTCTCAGCACTTCTACTGCCTTGTAAGACGAACGGCCGACGGAGCCTTAGCGAAAAGTATTGTATTAGGGAGTTATTAAGAGATAATAATACCTAATCATTTACTTGCTACTCTCCTGCCTTTCTAATCCGTATCATCTGCTTGTTGGGCTAGTTTAATCATACACACTCCATTCGAAATCCTTGGGCTTACGTGTTGGACCCGGGGGTTGAAGGAATAAACCTCAACAAATATGTTCATCAAATATTTTTACTCTGTTCTGGGCCTGTTCGAAAGATCGAGAGTACGGTCCTGACCCGGAACCGAACTTAGTAAAGCCCCAAATAAGGTACTTTGTCCTGAGTCTAGGAAAGTCGAGACTGAAACCGGTTGGTCTCGGTCACTCAACAACTCTTTTGACTCATGCATTTTAAAAAGAAATAATGGCATAAACAAGACTAATGGGATTTGAAAAGACAAAAGTGAGACTACTTCAAACCTGGACCAAAAAGTGACAGATTTTAATTGGATGTCCTAATTTGCCCCTGTGATATATACTACACTAAAACAACCCTAGCACATCAACTATTTTCATATCTGGCCGTTCTCTGAAATCTGAATCCCTAGAGCATCTCTCTCGTCCATTCGCTCAGCATCAATTCTTCGCAGCCGCCCAGCATCGATCGCCGACTAGCATCGACCGCCGACACCGCCCAACATCAACTCGTGTACCGCCGCCACTAGCTTCGACTCGCCACCTCCCAAGCTTGATTTGCAGTCTCCATTGCTCTGCCACCGCTCGTCTGCGCCGCCCGCCAGCTTCGAATGGCCCGCTGGGCTTAGTAAGGGCAAAATAGTCTATTCAACTATTTTTAGTCACATTTCTGGAAAAATTTAAAGAAAATCATTTTTTTGTCCATGAGTTGATTTTTAGTAATATTGATGTCCTCACCCCTTTTAAAAAATGCTTTATATACAAGGACCGAACCGTCGGGTCGTCGATTAGACTAGACAAGGATTGTCGGGTCATTCGCAGACTGGTCCGAATCACGCGGTCGTTGATCCGACCGGAAAAAGACTGCCTGGTCGTTGACTGGATTGGATAGAGACCGCCCAATCACTGACCGGAGAGGAACCATCGGGTCGTTGATTACTCTATAATTAATTAATAAACAACAATTAATAAAAGGAAAAATTGAAAATAATAATCCTAACTATTGCTGGTCCGCTAACAATAATCTCAACTATTGATTATTTTTGTATAATCCCAACTATATGGACCGTCCGCCAATAATGGTCCATGACCGGATATTACCTGCTATAACATGTGATTTTTAATACAAATTAAGCGTAAAAATTAAAAGTCGAGATTATTTATAGGGATTACTAGTTATATCTCATCCTATTCACTTTAGAAACTATAAGAATTTATTTATAGTTGGTCACTTCAGATCATTATTGACGGAAAATCTCTAAAATTGAGATTATTCTGAAATAATCAATAATTGGAATTATTATGAGCGAACCGTCAATAGTTGAGATTATTAATATCAATTTTTTCTTAATAAAACAAAAAATGACTCACGGTCAAAAAACAAACTCACCTCGCAAAATCCGAAACAGATCCGAATAATGTAACCTGGCATTTCTGGTCGAGTCCGGTGCTCCCCTCTTGTTGCCGGCGTCGTTTCTCTCCACCGTCGCAGGAGAAAAGGACTATAATCACTGGATTTACCTCTGCGACCGCCGGATTCCTCCGTCAAAACCCTGACACCCTTACTCAATCTACCGTGCATCGCCGCCCCCTGCCTGAAAAAGCCAAGTGCTTTTGAATATCGTGTCTATACTAGATATCACTCGTGCTAAGGTTTCATTTTTTCTTTTTCCGAATCTATGATTGCATTTACTCTTGAACTTCATAACCCTCTTGTTCCTAACCTCATTTTTCAGGAACGAAAAGTGAAGTTAAAGCATTGAATTTGGGAAATAAAATGACTTCAGAGAATGATCGGGACAACCTGGCTGAATCACTTAATGATCTATTCACCAATGTTTCGAAGATGGTTAAAGGCGAGCTTTATGTATGTCAAGCGCTCGATTCTGAGACTAATATCTTTTACATAAGAGTTTACCCAATATTATTTCAAGCTTGAATTTTTTAGATAGTTTGGTTCTGACATTGTTCAAATCGGAAATTTGGGCATACTGAGTATATGGATGAGTACTTGGGGCAACCTATATAGTATGTACTCTCTTTGAGTTTCTTTGAACTTAACTTGTGAATTGGGAGTTGGGATAACATTTTAAAACTTGTAATTTTATACTAAAATGTCAATGAGGGGGTGGAGTAAAACCTAAATGATATTTTGTATTGAGGGGTGACTTAATATAGTGTTTGCTTGGAGACATTATATATTTATAGTGCACTGGCTGAATTAATTGATAATGAATTAAATAGTGCAGTTGGTACTTTTTGTATTGGTGTGCTCTATAATCTATATCAATGAAATTAACAATTATATCTTGACATTCATATACTTCGGTATGACTTTATTTATTAAGAAAATTTGCTATTAATGATTTTTCGATAACAGAGCGACATCAATCATTTAAAACAGAAATCACTCCCACTAAACAGAGTACGGACACTTAGCCTTTGAAAAAAGGTTGCCTTAAAAGTTCAGTTTCCTTAAAAGAGGCATACTTTGTCGTGGCTGCTTCTCTGGCTTTCATGAAAGCTAACAAATATGCTGTTGATCTAATCACAGGAAACTAACAATCTACTTGAACTTTTGGAGAAAATGAATTCAAGAGTTGGTGAAGAATATAAAGGCTTTGGTGATCTGGCTTCCGGTTTGAGAGTTTTTGTTGAGCAGCTCAAATCCAAAAGCAGCAACTTTGACGAGTATGTGCACCAGATTGATGCAATAGAGCGGCAAGTAACTGAACTTGAAGTTGTCATATCCATGCTTGATAAGTATGTTTCTTTGTTGGAATCAAAAGTAGAGTCCGTATACCATGCTCCATCTTCATGACTACATTGTTTAATGCATTTCTTGTTCTTTAATTTTTTTTATAGATCAAATTTTATAACACTATTTCGTCACACATAGGCTACTTTTGATGTATGTGATGGTAGCAAGCAATTTGTGTCCTAGTTACTATATTAGAGGATTTAGAGCTATGTATTTCCCTCCTTGAATATCCAAAATGCTTACAATGGAACTATGTTTCATATATAATAGACGAAGAAACTACCATAATGATGAAGATGTTAACTAGTCCTACACAAGTCACATATAAAAATACAAACCAACGTGTATGGTTTTGAGTTAGTCCCGCTATGAGAGTGACCTTTTAGGATGTTTTTAGTTAGACTAAAATTTCTGGTCTGGCCTGATTTGCTCTTTATTTTGGTTTGTTTAAATCTGGTCAAGACTCAAGATTGAATACACATATTTTAATATAGTTTCCTCCAACGAATCACTATCGAGATGTTAAGTCTTCCAACATAAGCTTAGTGCTTCTATTATGTTGAACTTTTACCATGGAAATCTCGTACCTTAATACAAAGATGGTGCAATTGTCATGACATTTACTTTTTAGTCTTTTTATTCAGTTTAGCATGTGTGTTTTGGTTATGGAAAAACTAAGAAGATGGGGAAACAAGCTGCAATGAGAACGATCGAATGGCTATTGCTCTCATGCACCCTAAGGAGATATATGCTTGAGAAGAGAGAAAGAAGGGCGGGTCACCCTTGCTAGAGAGGGAGACAGAGAGAGTTATCTAGTGTTCTATAAGACGCTAGGCGCTAGTCGGGCGGTGACTGGGCGTAAGATGCTAGGCGCTAGTCGGGCGGTGACCGGGCACCTAGCTATTTCCTTCATTATTTTTATTATTTTTTCATTTTCTATGAATTTTAACAATTTTTACTAATAATTTTATAATATTTTGACAATAGAAATAGTTCATATAATCATTAAATGTTATGCTTTTGTCACTAAATTATCAATAATAGATGATTTAAGAAATTTGCGGTTTTTAGTTTAAAAAAATGTTAATATACATTCTAAAAAGTTCATATGCATTGAAAAATTATATTTTGTTGTAGGAATATGATAGGGAATTTTATAGGAATAGAATACTTATTGATCAATGGCATTTTCTCATAAAGTGGAACAAATTTATAATCGGGAACAAATTTAGAGCCCGTTTGGTAGCACGAATATAGGCTAGTTTGGTTGATTCTGCTGAAATTTATGAAACTCTGGCTGAAGTGGCTGCATTGACTGATTCTGCTGATTTAAGAAAAAAAAAATATTTATAAAATATATTTTAGTAATAAAATAAAGAAAAAGTTATATGTAAAAATAGCTAAAATGGTCATCTACAGTAACTTCAGCCAATAGAGCCAGAAAAGTAACTCCAACCTTACTTTTTCTGCTTATTACACAATTCAGTGCGTTTGGTAGCACGAAAATAGGTTGGTTTGGCAGATTCTGCTGAAATTTCTGAAACTCTAGCTGGAGTGGCTGCATTGGCTGATTCTGCTGATTTAAGAAAAAAAAAATTATAAAATATATTTTAGTAATAAAATAAAGAAAAAGTTATATGTAAAATAGCTAAAATGGTCATCTACAGTCACTTCAGCCAATATAGCCAGAAAAGTAACTTCAACCTTACTTTTTCTGCTTATTACACAATTCAGCGCGCCAAAGCAAAGTTACATGTTTGGTGAAAATGTTGGCTGATAAGTCTGATAAGCCGGAAAAGGGTGTTACCAAACAGCACCTTAGTCCGGGCTACCTAGCCACCCACCGTCTAGCCTGCCTAGTCGCCCGCCTAGGCGGTTGACTGCCTTTTCTCACCGATTACCACAAAGTTGGGGTGCCTTGCCACCGCCTAGCTAGCGCCTAGGCGGGCATCTAGGACGAATTTTTAGAACCATGGAGTTATCTGGAGAATGAGAGTGAAAGGACTAAAAGTTATCCGGAGTATCTCTTAAGGTGAACTTTGTTTCTCTGCCAAAAAAAAGGTTGAACTTTGTTGAAATCGCATTAGCCTTGCGTTCATTACTGTTATTCACCACCGGAGAAGGAAGCAACTTGTTGTCACTTATCGACCGTCTTCACGACTTCACTCGTCAGAAAATGACTCGCATGGAAGAGAACATGAAAAATTGTACTGCGTACATTGTCACTGGCATGCATATGATGATATGAAGAAAAATAACGAGGAAATGATATACGACTCATGCAAATATGAGTTGTAAACGGGGAAAACAGGATATGTAGTGGGATGTGGTAGATGTTTTGATCATGTGGGTAGAAGTTGAACAGGATATAAGAAGAAATGCCTTTCAAAAAACAAATGCCTTGACCAGGGGGTTTGACATTGACCGTGCATTAACAGGGGTTGACCAAGAGTTTCGAACAAGGGCCGACGGACGGCGATCATATCAGTCATAGTAATTTTATGTCATAATGGCTCTGTTTGGATACTGGCGGTTAAGGCCAAACCGCCGTTTTTTAACAAAAGGAAACGCTAGAATTTCTAGCGGGTTGGCTTCAAAACGCCAAAAAACAAACGGGGGCAATAACTTAAGGTGAGGATTCAAATCGCTTATGCGCTCGAAAATGATGGGTTTTGCATGAGATTTTAAGAATTGTGATGATATATGAAGACATATAGAATTGTGAAGGAAAAAATCAATTTTGTGCACCCCTTAAAGGAGGGTGATGTCGGCCATGTGGCATGTGAGTTCTTTATTTTTTGACAATTGTTTTAACTTTTTCATTTTAAATTCATTTTTTATAAATTTAAAATGAATTTATATTCAAAATGTGGCACCAATTGTTTTAACTCTGTCATTTCAGTGGTGCCAAGATATATCCTAGGAAGGACATCAGATTTGTTCATGCTGACACATAGGTTTTCCTATTTAAAAATTCAAAATGTAAAAGATCATTCCACAACAAGCTGAAACTTGTCAAGCTCACATGGACGACAGCATACAAGAAGCATCACAAGAATAGTTGGTGCTACGTTGGAGGTCATCAAACTTAGAGCACTAGCTTGTACTATTTCTAATTCTCTAAAGTTCATTTCGGTTCAATCTAGTCTGTTGAAGTTTAGTTTCCTAACTTTGGTTGTGAAGACATTTTCTAACTCTGCGCCTGTTGATTAAGATATGGACTTTACTTTATGAAAAATGAAAATATGTGAAGTTATAAAATTGTGGGTGGTTTTAAAAGAATAAACATAGGTTATTAATGCGCTTTAAATTATACGATCTTATCCAAAAATATATGCATATACCTGAAATAACATGTTAGTGTAGAATTATTCCGAGTACTCAAGCAGGAATTCAAGACTATAATATAAAGGTTTTTTTGTTAAACAGTTTAATTTTTTATTTTATCGTGTTTATTCTGTTTGAGACGGTCAATGTATGAATACCATTCCCAAAATGCTTCGAGAAAGGGGGACATATGTTGTTGTGCTAGAAGCTGCATACTCATATACTTCACTGATTATCGGGTGGTGCTATTATAATTAAGAACATCATGTTAATAAAAGATAAGAGATGAAGGAAAAGAAGAGATCAATCGTCCACACGTATATGCGGCATCTACTTTGCTCTCTCCAAAGTCATTGACAATATCTAACAATGAGAAGTTGGTTTGTACTATCCAATGTACTAAACACATTTGTATAGTAGTTTATTAATTAATATTAATGATTCTTCTCATTTTTACATATTTGTTTCAATGAATATAGACAACACACGTCGATGATAATGTGGACTAATTAAGAACAAAATTAGATGTTTTTAATGAAAGGGCCCTCACAAATGTAAATATAATTAAAGGAAATTTTGTATAAGACAAACATAAAAAGTATTATAGCTAATATATAACATATTTCTTACTACAAAGTTTTGAACCTCGCACCTTTCACACATCGTTCATTACAAACAAGGCTAAAGAAGATGGAGAAGACATCCACTAAACTTGTTCTTTCATTTTTCTTGTGTCTCTTTCTATTAGGTCTGTCTCTTTGTGATCTCTCTCTCTCTCTCACGGGGTGCATTTTTAATATTACTCACTCATGGTGTCTTAAAATCATTAGTCAAATGTTACATGATCACTTAGGACTTACAATATACATCTTTCATGTATTCATCACATGGTACACATCGATATCATATTCAAGATTGATAGTTTTTAATAAGTAGAAGTAGATATGTTCTCTTGAACAACAATTGACCTATAACATAATCTATTTTGTTCTTGTATCATTCAATGTTTAATACATCAAAGAAGGTTCACTGAAATGAGAAAAACAATGTTATGTATTTATCTTCAATTCTTTCGTTAATTAACCTATCTCTGCTCATAAAAAGAATGTAACTATTATTAGTACCTCCCTCCCATTGGACATTGCCAACTATGTGATGCGTATGAACTAAGAAAAATAAAAATTATGTGGTTGGACTTTGTGCAAACACGAGAGAAATAAGCTCAATCACATAGTCATTAACACAGAAGGAAAGTAGCAATTTTTTAGACAAATAATAACCGGAAACATGGCAACAGTCTAGCGGCAAGGAGGAAGTATTAAACTAGATTCATGATATAATATAGATAATTTTACATGGTAAGTTAGTTATAAATTTCTTGTAACTCTAATCAATAATTTACTTATTTTATATTTTAATTAGTCTTTATGTACTTTCTAACCTCATAAAAAGATTTTACACGTAGGATCCTAATACTTATATTACAATATGTATCATGAAGTCGTACACAATGATATCATATCCAATTTTGATATTTTTTTAAATCATTAGTGATAGAAATGTTATCTTAAATATATAACAATTGATATATTGTTTTGATCATTCAATGCTTGATGCATAAAAGAAAGTTAAGAAGGTTCGTGAAATGAAAATATTCATAAAAAATCTTTATCTACATTTTTTTGTTAGCTTGTCTTGGTACAATGGATAATATGATAAAGTTATTAAACTAAATTCATTATATAAACTATAATTAAGTTTACATACTATGTTAATTATAAGCAAGAATTTGTAATTGTGAGTCAATTATTTGCTCATATTATATTTTGATTAGTCTTTCTGTACTTTTTATCTTACCATAGGTTCCTCACATATGAACGTGCTTGTATCAGCGCAAAAGTGTGAATCTGATCAAGAATGTGAAAAATTATTAGTATGCATAGATGGAAAACCGGTGTGTAAACTCGACATTGGAAGATGTGTCTGTGTTACCGGAGGTCTTACTAGTACTTTAAAACAACAAAATCCTAATGAACAATGAATTCCAGTGTTAAAAGTATTTTTATGAAGTTGAATGTATATGTGTAAGCTATCGAAAATAAAATAATTTATAATAAATTGGTTTTGTAATGAAGCTACATTATAACATTAAATGTCATATTGTTATCATTTCAATCATTTTTGTCATCATCTATTTATTTATGGAAGCTTACTTTCTTAACTTCTTGATGTCTAGCCATAATATCTTTTACAGGTTAAAATCTTTACCTCTATAGAATGTTTAAATGTTCTATCCGCTTAACATATTTTTTAGAAGGGAAAACTGTCAAATAGGCCCCCCTACTAATACAAAAAAGTGAATTAAGCCCCTAAACTCAAAAAACACTCAATTAAGCCCACGAACTATAAAAAATGAGACAAAACAATCCTTTTAACAGGTAATTAAACGATTAAAAAAAGATAAGGAAAAAAAGAAAAAAAGAGAAAAGGAGAAAAAGAAAATGTAAAAGCATGTCACATCATTTGCCACACAGCAACTTAACTGGGAACAGTTAATATCCTGCTTAAAGGACTGTTTTGCCTCGTTATATTTAGTTCGTGGGCTTAATTGGATGTTTTTTGAGTTCGGGGGCTTAATTGAGTTTTTCGTATTAGTAGAGGGCCTATTTGACACTTTTCCTTTTTTAGAATGAACTTTTGAAATTTCTTGGATGTGTGAGCTAAACTCCTTATTGCTCTTGTGTCTCCAAAATCATTCTAGAGAGAAATTTATTTTTGAAATTTCTTGGATGTGTGAGCTAAACTCCTTATTGCTCTTGTGTCTCCAAAATCATTCTAGAGAGAAGTTTATACTTGAAGACAATTCTTGAGAGAAGATTTGGCATTATAAGCGCAGAACCTTGAGCATCCAAAGTCGCCCTTTTTGTAGTCGATCATACATAATAATTTTCATTATAAATTTGTGATAATTGAATAATAAAATAGTCATAAGAGAATGGTGATGGTGGTGATGATCATCACTAGTAATTTAACTCTGCTTCTAAAGAAGGCTGTGGCTGATTTGTTTAGGCTCCTTCTAATTTATATGTAGTATATCACTATTTCATCAATAAAAATATAAATATATAAATTAAATATCAAATTATATTTTGAAGTAGAAATATTTTAATTAATATTAACTGATGATTACACCAATACACCTATGACTACTATCACCATTCACCATAACTATCACATGATATATAACAATGAATGTTAAATGAAATTTTTAGGGTGTTAAAATGAAAAATATTTTAAAGCATTGGAAGACGACTTTGTGGCTGATCTTTTTAGGCTCCTTCTATTTGAGGGATAATTGTTTCCCTACGCACAATCTAAACATTAGAAAGAAGAATCAATCATCGGATGAGAACGCGGTCTCAATCTCGAGCGAAGCGCTGATGTTTTCCACAGCGGGGGTTAGGGAGTTAGGGTTTTTTAGGTGGGACTTTCATGAACTTTAGCTTATTGTCTTTTCTTTTCTTTTTTGATTTGGTTATTCGCTTGTGTACTTTTTTCTTTCTCACACCTTTCAATAAAATATTTCCTTTGTCAAAACAAATTGACCATTTTGATATAATATTTTTTGGTTGAAAAAAAATCACGGTTTCATCAATAAAAACATGAATATATAAATGAAATAACAAATTATATTTTGTAGTAGAAGTATATAATTAATATTAACTGCTGGTTACACCAATAAACCTATGACATAACCACCATAACTATCACCCGATAATTTAACAATGAATGTTAAATGACATATTTAGGGTGTTGAATCTGATCAAGAATGTTACCGGATAACTATCGCCCTCATAACTAAATATTTATTTGATGTTTACTACATACGAAATTATTTAATTAACATGAAAAATTGTACTCCGTAGTAATGAAAACAAATTAGATTGGATGCTCACATCTGTCTAAATATGTTGAAATAGATAACTTTTGAGCCCGTTTGATAGCAATGAAATTGGATGAATCGACAGAATGAGTTGAAATCGGTGACATTCTGGCAGTTACAATTAAATTGGATGAATTTGCTAAATTATGAAAATAGTTATATTCAAAGTATTTTTTATTAAAAAATAAAAAGTTATATGAAAAATAGCTAAAATGACCATCTACAATAGTTTCATCCAATTCAACTACAAAAATAATTCAAACCTTACTTATTTTTATTATTATACAATCCAACGCATGAAATCAAAATGTATTTGTAACCCTTAGTATAAGTTCCTATTAGGTTCAAACTCATATTGATTTACTCCCGTACGTTGATTCAGTTGTTGGGTATTTCTTTGTTTTTGACCCATGAGGAAAGCCCAACTTTTGAGCCCATTAAAAGTCTTCTTTGACTTTCTATTTTGGGAGCTAATATTAAAAACAGGGTCTGCCATCTATCAAAGATTCAAGGACAGAAATAGAGTAGCAGATAAGAGAACACAAGTCGTAAACATGAGCTGAGTGTGCTCATCCCGTTTTTCCAGTAGGCAGCAGCAGAAAGCTTCCGTTTCTCGGAGATTGAACCGTTGGATCGTCGTGATTTTTGGACAGCAGCTTCACAGCATCTGAGCCAACATTCTGGACGGTGGAGATCGGGTTTTGAAGTCCGGAGGTCAGGTTTGGTTAGTCTGGACAGTAGCTATTTTTCTGGTGATATATTTCTTATCTTGGCTCTATTTTGATTCCATACACCTTGATGTGCTTACTTCCAAGGATATGATGACTTTGTATGCCTCTAGTATTATCTAGAAAGACTTTGTACTGCTCCTTTGATGATGATAGTGGATTTAAGCGGCCAAAATGGTCCCGTGGTTTTTCCCTAGTTAACAGGTTTTCCATGCTAAAATTCCGGTGTTTTTGTGTGGTGTGTGCTTACTGTTTTAGTTGATTATATTGGTGTGTGGCAGCAATATTGTGTGTGTTCTAATTGTATTAAGAACACCCTATTTGTTTGCATCCTCAAAGGTTCATTCAAGTTGGGGAAATTTTAGCCAAACGGAGATTAATTCCGCATTTTATTAGTTACCGTTTGGGGCTGTTTTTCCCATCAAATTGGTATCAGAGCCGAGTTCTTCTGTATTGGGTTAGACTTGTTTGAATGATGGAAGCAAACACAAGTAGGATGATCAATTTGAATGGTTCTAATTATCATGTTTGGAAAGGCAAAATGGAAGACCTACTTTATGTGAAGGATTATTATTTGCCTGTGTTTACTACTGATAAACCTGAGAGTAAAAAAGATGAGAGTGGAATATTTTACATAGACAGGTTTGTGGGTATATTCGCCAATGAGTTGATGATAATGTTTTGAACCATATTAGCGGGGAAACGCATGCTCGCAGTTTGTGGAACAAGTTTGAACAGTTGTATGCTCGAAAGACTGGGAACAATAAATTGTTCTTAATAAAACAGATGATGAGCTCGAAATACCATGACGGAACTCTTGTCACTGATCATTTGAATTCTTTTCAGGGAATCATAAATCAACTTGCAGGAATGGGTATCAAGTTTGAAGATGAGATACAAGACTTGTGGCTCCTTGGCACTTTATCGGACTCATGGGAGACTTTTAGGACATCATTGTCCAACTCTGCACCAGATGGTATTATCACCATGGAATTAGCTAAAGGCAGTGTTTTAAATGAAGAGATGAGAAGAAAGTCACAAGGATCCTCTTCACATTCTAATGTCTTAGTTACAGAAAGCAGGGGGAGAAGTCAGAGTAGAGGTCCAGGTAACAAAGGGAAGCATCGAAGTAAATCCAAAGGAAAGTTTGCTGATTTTGAGTGCTATCATTGTGGTAGAAAAGGCCACACAATACGGTTTTGCAGGCAATTGAAAAAGGAGAAGAAGAGGAGCGATTACAACAATCAAAAGAACCATAAGAAAGATGAGGGTGGTAATGGCAATGCTGAAGTTAACACTACTACCGATGAGTTCCTTATTTGTTCTGATCTTGATATGGTCAACATTGCACATGATGATTCCAGTTGGGTTGTTGATAGTGGTGCTACGTGTCATGTAACATCACAGAGGGATTTTTATTCATCTTACACTCCAGGTAACTTTGGTAATGTTAGGATGGGTACTAATGGACTATCAAAGATTGTAGGCATCAGAGATATTTGTTTGAAGTTTGACACTGGGATAGAGTTGGTTTTACATAATGTAAAACATGTTCCAGATATGAGACTTAATTTGATCTCTGCAGGCTTACTTGATGATGATGGTTATAGCAACAACTTTGGTAATGGAATATGGAAACTCACTCTTGGTTCTTTGATCGTGGCTAGAGATAAAAGATGCTCAAAGTTGTACATGACACATCCGAAGATCTTCAAGGATAGGGTCAATGCTGTACGTGGTGAATCTGACATGACTGATTTATGGCATAAGAGACTTGGTCACATGAGTGAAAAGGGAATGTCTCACTAGTACAAAATAAGCATTTTACAACTAACATTTAATATGGGTTGGTTTAGAACCGTTACTGTATGATAACACGGGGTCTGAATCATAATTAATAAAAGTTTCATCTCATAGGACAAGGCAATTTTATAAAATAAAAATACTATTAATAACGGTTACTAATTTAACCCGCTATAGAAAGTATATATGGGGTCATATTCCTAAATCTCAAAAACTTTGATCCGGCACGGGGTCATTTTTTTAATTAAAAAAATATACTTTCAATGTCCGGTTACTTGTAACCCTTATTGATAGTGTTTTAAAATGTTAACCCCTGCGGCCAGGCCTTACACACTTCGTAAATGAGAAGGGTTTTGAGAGGAGCTGCGCACTTGCGAAATTAAAGCCTCAGCGCAAGAGAGCAGCGAGAGAGCAGCGAGAGAGAGCCTACCGACGACCACACTCCGCCGTATCCACACCTCTGCCGTATCCACACACCTCCGCCGCTCCTTCTTTCAACGTTCATCTCCTTCGCCAGAGGTCTTTTTTCCGACGGGTAATTTTCTTACACTGGTATTTGTGATATCTTTGCTAAAGTTTAAAGTCCTGAAGAGGTGTGTTAGAAAGTTGTTTAATCTGAAAGTTGTTCAACGTCCACACACATCATATCTTACACTGGTCATTTTTACACATCAATTTACTTTTCACAATCGATTCATGTATATATTTCACTGGTATCTGTTTAATTTCGTTTTGATTTATGGAGAACCTGGAAGATTTTTAGGTTTATGTTTTTAGTTGTCTAATGTTTGTTACCTATTTGTTAAAATGTCTCAATGAAAACCCAAGGGCTGAGAGCATATATAGCACTTGTATTAAAGCCTAATTTATCTCAATTAAATTAATTAACTAGTTAGTATTATCCGTACATACATTAAATCTATAATCATCCCCTGGCAGGTTGTTACTTGCACGTATCTCATCAGGTTGTTACATATAGCTAGCATGACTCATTTGATTAATAACAAGAATCATTCTCGACTAATAACAATAATTGTATATATTGGCTTGCCTATTTAGTTGGACGCCATTCAATGCTTTCCGACTCTTCAATTCTTGTGTTTGTTTATTATTATACCAAACAAACTAATGCCTTTCCGACTCGTCACTTACTTCTCTATTTTGCATTTAACTTGCCCCACCTCACTTAAAAAAAAAATATTTACGTACGGCCAGTGTTTTAATTCTGTATATATACACAGAAATCCACTGCTTCGTATCACTGCGGATTTTTCTTGGTGGCTCACAAAACCATTCTTCTAAGAAATTCCGATTCCCCCCTTTCATTACTTAACGGCGTCAAGAGAATTTTTGAGACCATTCTTTATGTGTTGAAGCATGAAATCTTTTTTAGCTTAAGGTTGTATACAGTTTTAGCTTAAGTTTGTTTTTTCCCTTCAAAGTTTAGATAAAATATGTTAAGTTTTACTTGGTTATTTGGAGTGCTTTGACATGAATGTGATATCTTTGCTAAAGTTCCCCAATGGCATTTCCAATGAATGTTTCTTCACAATATGATGTGTAATTTTTTTAATTATTTGTTTTTTTCCTAATTAACTTATTATCTAAGAGACTAAGACTAGGCAGTCCTCTTTCTAATAGCCTTATTAAAATTATTATCTAAAACATATGATTATTATTTTTACCCCGAGCTAGTTTTGTGTATATGTAGTTTTCTAGTGATTATTTTTTTTTACCTGGAATTTGTTTTGTGTATATATAAACCAGGCAGTCTTGTTTCTAATATGATTGTTTTTTTATCCGAAGTTTTATTTGCTATGCATTTTAGATTGGGTTGAGTTAGTTTCTTTCTAATGGTGTTACTTTCTATCTAAAATTTATACGGAGTAGCATATAAACTTTTTTATGGTTGAACTAGCAATTCTTAATTTCAATACACTCTAAGATTGAATTTCTTCATCTGCTTTATAAATCAAGTGCTTTATGTAGTTAGGTCTGCTTTTGTTTATTCTTTATTTTCCTTTGTTTTCTTCATTTGTACTCTTCTTATGTTTCACTCATCAATAAAATCTTTCTTTGTTAAAAAAAATCTATCCAAAAGTGATAATAGATCTACTGGACATGCATACAAACATAACGCTATAAATGCTATAACGTATTAGACTATTAGGTTATGTGGTTTTGTTAACAAATATTTACTTGAATGTTTGATTGCACATGTTACAGAAATTAAGATAGTTATGGATCGTAATTGGATCAATTGTAGACGAACAAGTGAGGACTATGAAAATGGAGTTGAATCATTTCTTGAATTCACAAAAACAAATCTGCCTAACAGTAGTGGAAAGTTTCACTGTCCTTGTGTGAATTGCGTGAATGGGATACGACTAGACACTGAATTAATACGAGAGCATCTCCTGTGTGATGGGTTTTGCAAAAGCTATACAATATGGATCTGGCACGGTGAGCGGTACAATATGCCCGCTACATCATCTAATACAGAGAACATTGTTGAAGCAGATATGAGTGATCATCTAGAGGACATGATACGTGATGTTGGCGAAGAGTCTTTTAAGCGATCACATCTTTATGAAACATTGTGCGCTGATTCAGAGAAACATTTGTATCCCGGGTGCACCAAATACACACGACTTTCAGCTGTGTTAAAGTTGTTTAATCTGAAAGCAAAGTATGGGTGGAGTGATAAGAGCTTCACCGAATTGCTCTTGTTGTTAAAAGATATGCTTCCTAGTGGTAATACATTACCAAACCGCAACTATGAGGCAAAGAAGGTAATTTGTCCTTTGGGTATGGAGTATAAGAAGATACATGCATGTCCAAATGACTGTATACTATACAGAAAGGAGTTTGAGGACTTGAATGAGTGTCCGAGATGTGGGATGTCACGCTATAAAGTGAAGGATGATGATTCTAGTTGTGGTGTAATTAGCGAAACTCGTCCTCCTGCCAAAGTGTTATGGTATCTACCAATAATTCCAAGGTTGAAGCGGCTGTTCAGTAATCCAAAAGAAGCAAAGAATATTAGATGGCATGCAGATGAAAGAATATGTGACGGCATGGTTCGCCACCCGACAGATTCTCTTCAATGGAAAAAAATTGATAGGTTATTTCCTGATTTTGGTAATGAGCCAAGGAATTTGAGGTTTGGACTAACTACAGACGGAATGAATCCATTCGGTAACTTAAGTAGCATTCATAGTTCTTGGCCTGTTCTCTTGATAATCTACAATTTATCTCCTTGGTTGTGCATGAAACGTAAATACATCATGTTGTCTATGTTAATTTCTGGTCCAAAACAACCAGGTAATGATATAGATGTTTATCTATCCCCCCTTGTCGAAGACTTGAAGAAACTTTGGGAGGAAGGTGTTGATGTGTTTGACAGTTACAAAAATGAAATTTTCAGAATGCGTGCCATGCTATTTTGTACCATCAATGACTTCCCCGCTTATGGGAACCTTGCCGGTTACAGTATTAAAGGACATAAAGCATGTCCAATATGTGAAGAAAACACATGCTACCATCAACTGTCACATGGTAGAAAAACCGTATATCTCGGGCATCGGAGGTTTTTAAGAAGGGATCACCCATATCGTAGATTGAAGAAAGCCTTTAATGGATGCAATGAGAGTAGAAGTTCTCCAATAGCTTTAACTGGAGAGCAAGTTTATCAACGAGTGAAGAGTATCAATGTTGTGTTCGGGAAGTCTAAGAAAAACACTGATACACAAATATGGAAGAAGCGATCAATATTTTTTGATCTCCCGTACTGGCGCAATCTAGATGTGAGACACTGCACAGATGTGATGCATGTAGAGAAGAATGTGTGCGACAGTATCATTGGGACACTTCTAAATATTCCCGGAAAGACAAAAGATGGACTGAATTCTCGTCTTGATCTTATAGAGATGGGTATACGAGAGGAGCTAGCTCCACATCCACAAGGTAAGCGTATGTATTTGCCGCCTGCATGTCATACCTTGTCTAAGAAAGAGAAAACAAGTTTCTGTGCATGTTTGAAGGGTGTCAAAGTGCCTCATGGTTATTGTTCAAATGTCAAGAGTTATGTTTCCATGAAAGACTTGAAATTGGTTGGTTTAAAATCTCACAATTGCCATGTCCTAATGCAACATTAAATGTGTCTTTAAGCTGCAATTATAATTGGGAATATTAAGTAAACTGTTATTTTTGTGAATGCAATGCAGCTGACCTTTGAGGTCCCTAATGATCCCGCACTAAGAAGAAAATGGATTGCGTATGCTGGTAGTCGATGGACAGGTTTCAAGACTTTTTTGACGTCCAAATACATATTTGGCGATCGACGTGGGCAAGACCCAACAATGAAGTATAAATGGATTGAAACTGAAACATGGAAACAATTTGTCGTGAGCCGAAAAGACCCCGTTTTTCTGGTCAGTTCGCTTCTGTTGATAAGTGATAAAGAATGCATGTAGTTTCTTACGTTGTGCAATATGTGGTGTCTTATTTTAAACGGGAGCGTAGAAGGAAAGCACAAGAAATTCAGTCATATAATGACTGTCCCCACAGATTATCCCGGGGCGGATATGAGTTGCTTGAAGAAAAGATGATGGCAGAAAAGCTGGAAAGGCAACAAGAGGCCTCAAAGTCTGATCCTTCGGTGGTTTTGAAACCTCCTTCTCCCATCAAACGCCATCATAAATGGAAGAGAGGTCGGGTTAGACGTAATGGAGAATATACGTCCAAGAGAGCTCAAGAAGTTGCAGAAAAAATAGTAAATCAGAATATTAGTAGTATCACGAATAATGTAAGTGTAAGACTTTCATATAACAATCCCTAAAGTCTGAATATTTTTCCTTTGCAGAGTGCACTAGAGAAGGAGGAAAATGAAGGAACATTTGTTCCCCTTGGTCGTGATGACATCTTAACAACAGCTACTGGACGCCCTGAGCACCCTGGACGTGTATGTGGTGTTGGAGCAGGTGTTAGCATTCGTGAAGTCTTTCCAAACACAGGACGTCAAAGACACATGGCCCCAACTTTAACCAAGCGTGATGTTGATCAGATCAAGAAAGAGATGCAAGATGAGATGACAGAACAAGTGACAGAACAAGTGACCCAAAAAGTGACACAACAAGTAACACAAAAAGTGACACAACAGGTGACTGAAGAATTGTCAAAGATATTTGACCAGAAACTTTGGGATGAGCTGCAAAAGCTTGGATTTACACAACACCAAGAACCACAAGGAGTGGCATGCCCCAGTCCTTCTCTCGCACATGTGAGTACAAAAGGGAGCAATGCTCCAGTGGATGTCTCCGAGTCTGATGATGATGATGATCATGAGTCTGATGATGATCTTGATGATGATCTTGATGATGATGTTGATGATGAGCTTTCTCCCCTTTATGTGGATACTCCTTTTCACCTAGTAGCTATGGGGAAGGTACTCTTATTTAAAATAAAGAACCCCAAAAATTTGGTTTTATACATTCAGTTTTTATACATTCTTAAATACATGATTAAATTTACGCTAAGAAATTATGTTTGGAAATATATTTAGGTACACAATTTGGGCCCTACTATCCACCATCAAAAAATAGCTGCGGATTTTGTTAGGGTGGAGGTGGTAGAGGTTATAGATGGAGCTGCATTGGTTCCTATTGTAAGTGATGAAGTTAAAACTGTGGGGCAAGCCCCTAAACAGTTCATTCAATGGCCAAAACGGTTAGTTAACCCCAACAAGAAGGCTAAACAAGCACATCAAAAGGTGAGAAAATAACACTGTTTTACACACTTCTTTTCATGAAATCCTTATTATCAATTTTATAACAAGTCTATGAAAACGGGATATTCAATAATATATTGCTTTTTAAGATTTACTTCTCTAGTAAATTTAAGCATTTTATTGTGTGTAGGGTGATGACAGTGACCAAGTAAATGCGACCAGCATGCATAAGGATCCAATTTCATGTTTGCTAGAAATGACTAAACGCCTAGATGGACAACCTATACAGTTGATCTTGAAAGGAGATGTCATTGGTGCTGCTGATATCTCCATTTTTCTCGGTTCAGAAGAGATAATGGAGATATGTGCGGGTAATCAGATGCTTAGTACAAAGATTTTGCAAGTCTGGACAATGTAAGTTGAGATTTTTCGTTGAGGTAGAACTTTGTTTTTGGTTGCTATGTTTTCAAACATGCCTTAAGGGGTTACAATTTAAGGATGAGATGTCGGTACAAGGTCTCGTTCACTACTCTTTCATATAATTATATTACTTTTTTGGACAATTTATTGATGAAATAGTGTATAGTTCTTAAGGCTTCAGATTGAAAATCGACTCCATATTAAAATATTTTAATAATAGTTTATTGTTAGCTGAACTTGGAGTTTTATGCTCAAAAGGTTGCTACTTTTTTGGATAAATGTGTCATACTCCATTTTCAGTATATTGTTCTGCTCTTTTTCGTATGTGCATCCAATGTATGTGGAAATAACATCGTTATCATATTGTCTAGTTTAATTTATGCTAATGACATGGACTATTTAAAAAATTATCAGTCTATAGGACATGCAAATGGTATGGAAATGTGACAATTTGAACTTGTATTGATTACTTTCTACCTTTGTTCATAATACTTTACATTACTGGAACTATTGTATCACTGTATCCTGTGACTCATGTATTCAATGCGATTATATTGTTATCTTTGTGAAGATCTTAGATCTAAGGATTCAGTTGAAGCTTTTACATTTTAGACTTTCATTTTGGCATGTGTAATATTTAACCTTAGAAGCCTTGTGAACTTTTCATGTACTACAAGGTAGCAGGGATTTCAGGTTCTGCTTGATTTATCAAATTGCAGTTTGGTTTGGTTTAAAACGATTGTCAAGTTTAAACAAAATTTAGTTCGGTTGGGATCGGAGTGGATTGAGTTTAGTTTGGTTTTTATTGGGTTTTTATTTTTCAAACTGTCAGTTTGGCTAATCAGTTTCAGTTTGGTTTCATATGGTTTGAGAAAACATTATGAAGCTAAAACTGAATTTTATATGGTTTGATTTTTGTTTGGGTAATTCAATTCGGCAAAACCAAGCTAAAATGTTTGTTTAGTAGTAAGCAATTCATTGATGATTCGAAGTCCAAACCTTTAAATTTAGTTGATTTAGATAGTTGTGATTTTGTTCAATGATTTGAAACTGTTGCCAGCCGAGTTATATTTGTTGACTTTCATTATGGTCTAATTAGGCCCATCCTAATTAGTTATTTTATTTATGATCTAAATTCCTAACCTGCCAATCTAGATCATTATGGTCTTAATAATTCTGGTTTTTCCCAATGCGGAACCCCTGAACCAAACAAACCCTAAGGACTCTTAGATTCTCAAATTTTGGTCATTGTTGTCTATAGAAATAGATCATTACAGGTGCACTAGTACCGTGTAATCTTTTTGGGATCATTATTTTTCAACCTTCATGTTATTCTTAAATTACAGGTACTTGCACAAATTGTGCAGTAAAAAGAGCAATACACACTTGTACGGATTCTTTGACCCTTATATCATTCAAGATTTGGGAAACAAGCGCGATGAAACTCAAACATACATCCTAACTCACCTCAAGGACAACAAGGACTGCTACCTAGTACCATATTACTATCCGTAAGTACAAGCTTATTATAAAACTCAATTAATATGTAAATAATTGTCGCTAACAGTTTTATTTCAGTCACCACTGGCAGCTATTCGTATTGTGTCCAAAGCAAAATATTATTGTGTTTTTGTGCTCCTTGGGGAATAAGTCAAAGACAATTGTGAAGAGTGTTTTGGATATGTAAGTATATAATTTTGTACACCAAATGTGTACTTTTGATTATGGCTAAAAAATTATGACTTATTTCTGTTTTTTTTTAATTAAGGGCAATGCAAGCACACCAAATAACTAAAAATAGGAGGAGTTCCAAACCAAAATGGATTAAGCCAGTTGTAAGTATTTTTTTCATACTTATCATGCAATGTCGTAAGTTCTTTTAATGATTGTATATATTTGGGTTGATTTTGCATTATAAAATTGTATATATATTTGGGCTGATTTTGCAATGCAGTAGAGTACATTTGAAAATAATAGGATGTTAATTCTATGTCTTCTATCAAAAGCTGCCATAATGTTCACGATGTTCAAAATCAGATTTGAAGTGAAAATACTATAAGTTATGTGACTTTGTTTATATGCTACAATCTTGTTCCGGTGAGTACAATTTCAATTATGCTTTTATTGTTATTGGGTAGTGGATAGATTTGTGGAAATTATCCAAACATAGCTTATACTTTATTGTTATTTGGAGTGGATAGATGTCTGCAAATTTGATGGAGCACAATTTGGGTAGTGGATAGATGTCTGCAAATTATGCTTTTATATTGTTATTTGGAGTGGTAATTCAAACATAGTTATAGTCTGGGATGTTGGGATCTTTTTTGTTTGTTTTGCATTCCTATTCTTTCTTTTTGAGTACCTGACAGAGTAGTAAGAGGATATATTTACATGTACATCTATTTGCAGTGTCAAATGAAAAGAGGAAGCCATGAGTGTGGGTACCATGTTATGAGGCATATGGATACTATAATATCTGTTGTTGTCGTTGATTCATGGATTGAGGTGATTAACTTTTTTAAGTTGTGCTTCATCAAATTTATACTTTAATTCTTTTATATTATATTTCATTAAACATAATTTTACTTCTATTTTTATATTTTATTGAATGTGTTTTTCTTTTTTTGCAGACATTTAATGTTCAAGAGCCATTCACTGAAGGAGAGATTAACGAGACAAGAGAACGTTGGGCATCATTTGTTTATGACGCTACAAGCACCCGCTATTAAATATATTAGATTAGATAAGGTTCTATTTTGATATGTCTGTAGTATGAATGGTGATGGCTGGTATATCCTGTTGAAGTCTATAATTTTGACTTGGATTGAACATGTGAAACTTTGTAGCTTTAACTTGGAATGAATGGTGCTAGTATTATGTGGAAATTTGTAATTTTGCTACGATTATGAATATATATTTGTCATGATTCCAATTTGCTGGTGTCATTTTATGTTGATTACAAGCAAGGTTATATAATGCATAATATGTAGGATATAGGTTTTATTAGGAAAAAACATTCAATAACGGTTGATGTGATAACCCATATAAAAGAGATTTTACATGGGGTATTTATGAACGGACATAAAAAACAATCAATAACGGTTACGTAAGTACCCGTTATAAATAACATTCAATAACGGGTCCATTTACCCGACACGAAACGTACCTGACTTTTAATATCGCGGGATACTATGTCGCCACCGGAACCGACATTAAAAGTGCATTTTAACCCATATAAAAAGTGTATTTTCCACTAGTGTCTCTTTTGTTGAAGAGAAATGTGTTACCGGGTGTGCATGATATTCATCTAAAGAAGTGTTCTCACTGTTTGGTAGGTAAACAGAACAGGGTTTCCTTTAAGAGCCATCTTCCTTCCAAGAAGGAGGGTATACTTGATCCGGTGCATTCTGATGTTTGTGGTCCTATGAAGACTAGGACACTTGGTGGTTGCTCCTACTTTGTCACATTCATTGATGATCACTCCAGAAAGGTATGGGTCTATACCTTGAAATCTAAAGATCAAGTATTTGAGGTGTTTAAGCAGTTTCATGCCTCGGTTGAGAGACAGACTGGAAAGAAGCTCAAGTGTATTCGGACAGATAATGGAGGGGAATACATTGGCCCCTTTGATGCTTATTGTAGAGACCATGGTATTCAACATCAAAAGAGTCCTCCCAAGACACTGCAGTTGAACGGATTAGCAGAGCGGATGAACAGAACTTTGATGGAGCGTGTCAGATGTTTGTTGTCACATGCAGGGCTGCCAAATTCATTCTGGGAGAAGCTTTGAATACAGCCGTACATGCTATTAATCTAACTCCTTGTGTTCCTTTGTCTTTTGATGTACCTGACAGGGTTTGGAGTGGCAAAGATGTTTCTTACCGTCATTTGAGGGTCTTTGGATGCAAAGCTTTTATGCACATTCCTAAAGATGAAAGATCAAAGCTTGATGTGAAGTCCAAACCATGTGTTTTCTTGGGTTATGGCCAAGATGAGTTTGGTTACAGATTATATGATCCAGTCCACAAGAAACTTATTCGAAGTCGAGATGGTCGAGATGTTGTGTTTGTGGAAGATCAGACCTTGAAAGATGCTGAGAAGAAAGATACAGTTCCTCAACATAATGATGATGTTACTGATTTGGATCCAGTGCCTCCTCAGCATGTAGAACCACCTCTTGATAATGATGTTCAGAATGGTGAACAACATGATATTGATGCTCCAGAACAGCCAGAGGTGGATGAAGAATTTCATTCAGAGATACCAGTACCAGACATGCCACCATTTGTCCCACTTAGGCGGTCTACAAGAGATCGTCATCCTTCCACCCGTTTTTCAGCTAATGAGTATGTCTTACTCACTGATGGGGGAGAGCCTGAGTGTTATGCAGAGGCCATGGAAGATGAGCACAAAAGGGAGTGGGTTGAAGCCATGCAAGATGAGATGAACTCCTTACATGAGAATAATACATTTGAGTTGGTGAAGTTGCCTAAAGGCAAGAGAGCTTTGAAGAACAAGTGGGTATTGATTTGAAGAGCACACCTCACAACCTAGGTACAAGGCTAGATTGGTGGTCAAAGGGTTCAGTCAGAGAAAGGGTATTGATTTTGATGAGATTTTCTCTCCGGTCGTGAAGATGGGATCTATTCGTGTTGTTCTGGATTTGGCAGCCGGCCTTGATCTCGAGGTTGACCAGATGGATGTCAAAACAGCTGTTCTTCATTGTGACTTGGATAAAGAAATCTACATGGAGAAACCTGAAGGGTTTCAGGTTAAGGGAAAAGAAGACTATGTGTGTAGACTTCAAAAGAATCTTTATGGGTTGAATGAGCACCAAGACAGTGGTACAAGAAGTTTGAGTCAGTTATGGGGGAGCAAAATTACCGAAAGACTACTTCAGACCATTTTGTTTTCTTCCACAGGTTCGATGATGATGATTTCATTATTTTATTATTATATGTTGATGACATGTTAATTGTTGGCAAGAATGCAGAAAGAATTACTCTGCTGAAGATGCAATTGAGCAAGTCTTTTGCTATGAAAGACTTGGGGCCAGCAAAACAGATTCTTGGCATTCGGATCACTCGAGACGGAACTTTGAAGAAGCTACACATGTCACAGGAGCAATACATTGAAAAGATGCTTCGCAGATTCAACATGGACAAAGCTAAAGAGGTTAGTTCACCTCTTACTACCAACTTCAGGTTGACAGATAAAGATTGTCCATCTTCTGAGAAGAAGATTGAATAGATGGATAGAGTCCCTTATGCCTCAGCTGTAGGGAGTTTGATGTATGCTATGATGTGCACACGGCCTGATATTGCTCATGCAGTAGGTGTTGTTAGTCGTTTTCTGTCAATTCCAGGTAAGAAGCATTGGGAAGTAGTGAAGTGGATTCTCAGATATCAACGTGGTACTTCCAAATTGGGTATAACATTTGGAAATGGGAAACCAATACTTGTTGGTTATATTGATTCTGATATGGCAGGAAAAAGGACAACATGAAATCCACTTCTGGATATTTGATGACTTTTGCAGGGGGAGCTGTGTCATGGCAACCGAGACTGCAAAAGTGCGTGGTTTTATCCACCACCAAGGCTGAGTATGTGGCTGCAATAGAAGCGTGTAAGGAGCTATTATGGCTCAAAAAAAATTATGCAAGAGATTGGCTTTATTCAACAGCGCTATGTGGTTCTTTGTGATAATCAAAGTACCATTCACCTTGCTAAAAATTCTATGTTTCACAAACGAACCAAACATATTGATGTGAGGTATCATTGGATTATAGATGCACTTGAAGACAAACTGTTTGAACTTGATAAAGTTCATATTGATGATAATGGTGCCGATATGTTGCCGAAGGTTCTATCAAGGGAAAAGTTGAAGGTATGTTGCTCCATCGCCGGTATGGCGAACTCTTCCTCATAAGTCAAAACGGGGGAGATTTGTTGGGTTTTTCTTTGTTTTTGACCCATGAGAAAAGCCCAAGTTTTGAGCGCATTAAATGACTTTCTATTTTGGGAGCTAATATTAAAAACAGGGTCTGCCATCTATCAAAGATTCAAGGACTGAAATAGAGCAGCAGATAAGAGAACACAAGTCGTAAACATGAGTTGAGTGTGCTCATCCCGTTTTTCCAGCAGGCAGCAGCAGAAAACTTCCGTTTCCCGGAGATAGAACCGTTGGATCGTCGTGATTTTTGGACAGCAGCTTCACAGCATCTTAGCCAACATTCTGGACGGTGGAGATCGGGTTTTGAAGTCCGGAGGTCAGGTTTCGTTGGTCTGGACAGTAGCTATTTTTCTGGTGATATATTTCTTATCTTGGCTCTATTTTGATTCCATACACCTTGATGTGCTTACTTCCAAGGATATGATGACTTTGTATGCCTCTAGTATTATCTAGAGAAGACTTTGTACTGCTCCTTTGATGATGATAGTGGATTTAAGCGGCCAAAATGGTCCCGTGGTTTTTCCCTAGTTAACGGGTTTTCCACGCTAAAATTCCGGTGTCTTTTGTGTGGTGTGTGCTTACTGTTTTAGTTGATTATATTGGTGTGTGGCAGCAATATTGTGTGTGTTCTAATTGTATTAAGAACACCCTATTTGTTTGCATCCTCAAAGGTTCATTCAAGTTGGAGAAATTTGAGCCAAACAGAGATTAATTCCGCATTTTATTAGTTACCGTTTGGGGCTTTTTTTCCCATCAAATTGGTATCAGAGCCGAGTTCTTCTGTATTGGGTTAGACTTGTTTGAATGATGGAAGCAAACACAAGTAGGATGATCAATTTGAATGGTTCTAATTATCATGTTTGGAAAGGCAAAATGGAAGACCTACATTATGTGAAGGATTATTATTTGCCTATGTTTACTACTGATAAACCTGAGAGTAAAACAGATGAGAGTGGAATATTTTGCATAGACAGGTTTGTGGGTATATTCGCCAATGGGTTGATGATAATGTTTTGAACCATATTAGCGGGGAAACTCATGCTCGCAGTTTGTGGAACAAGTTTGAACACTTGTATGCTCGAAAGACCGGGAACAATAAATTGTTCTTAATAAAACAGATGATGAGCTTGAAATACCATGACGGAACTCTTGTCACTGATCATTTGAATTCTTTTCAGGGAATCATAAATCAACTTGCAGGAATGGGTATCAAGTTTGAAGATGAGATACAAGACATGTGGCTCCTTGGCACTTTACCGGACTCATGGGAGACTTTTAGGACATCATTGTCCAACTCTGCACCAGATGGTATTATCACCATGGAATTAGCTAAAGGCAGTGTTTTAAATGAAGAGATGAGAAGAAAGCCACAAGGATCCTCTTCACATTCTGATGTCTTAGTTACAAAAAGCAGGGGGAGAAGTCAGAGTAGAGGTCCAGGTAACAAAGGGAAGCATCGAAGTAAATCCAAAGGAAAGTTTGCTGATTTTGAGTGCTATCATTGTGGTAGAAAAGGCCACACAATACGGTTCTGCAGGCAATTGAAAAAGGAGAAGAAGAAGAAGAGCGATTACAACAATCAAAAGAACCATAAGAAAGATGAGGGTGGTAATGGCAATGCTGAAGTTAACACTACTACCGATGAGTTCCTTATTTGTTCTGATCTTGATATGGTCAACATTGCACATGATGATTCCAGTTGGGTTTTTCTTTGTTTTTGACCCATGAGGAAAGCCCAAGTTTTGAGCCCATTAAGTCTTCTTTGACTTTCTATTTTGGGAGCTAATATTAAAAATAGGGTCTGCCATCTATCAAAGATAAGAGAACACAAGTCGTAAACATGAGCTGAGTGTGCTCATCCTGTTTTTCCAGCAGGCAGCAGCAGAAAACTTCCGTTTCCCGGAGATTGAACCGTTGGATCGTCGTGATTTTTGGACAGCAGCTTCACAGAATCTGAGCCAACATTCTGGACGGTGGAGATCGGGTTTTGAGGTCCAGAGGTCGGGTTTCGTTGGTCTGGACAGTAGCTATTTTTCTGGTGATATATTTCTTATCTTGGCTCTATTTTGATTCCATACATCTTGATGTTCTTACTTCCAATGATATGATGACTTTGTATGCCTCTAGTATTATCTAGAGAAGACTTTGTAATGCTCCTTTGATGATGATAGTGGATTTAAGCGGCCAAAATGGTCCCGTGGTTTTTCCCTAGTTAACGGGTTTCCACGCTAAAATTCCGGTGTTTTGTGTGGTGTGTGCTTACTGTTTTAGTTGATTATATTGGTGTGTGGCAGCAATATTGTGTGTGTTCTAATTGCATTAAGAACACCCTATTTGTTTGCATCCTCAAAGGTTCATTCAAGTTGGGGAAATTTTAGTCAAACGGAGATTAATTCTGCATTTTATTAGTTACCGTTTGGGACTGTTTTTCCAATCATCAGTATCGAGATATATTTGATCCAAACTTTTGATGTTTCTGGTTCCACTCATAACTAAATCCAAAATATTTAGGCTCTAGCCAGTTGGATTTAATTCAATTTTTTTTTAATATAATCTCAATTTTAAATGTATCAGTGTAAAACACATATTGAGATTTGACTTTAGATTTAATTGTAATAGAATATATATATACATTTTGTATGTTAATGTTAATATAATTAGTTTAAAGTAAATCACATGTGAACAATTATTGGTCACACACTTAATTTAGATTGATTTTGAGTCCAAAAAGATTTTCTAGTCCAGAATATATAAGCAAATACAAAAATATGGAGAGACTAACTTTTTAACTTAATATGTAAATAACTAAATACATGATAGAAAATCAGCATTTTAAATTACATTTGATTATATTTTGAAAGAATGAAAATCATAATAAATAAAAATGATGAATGGCATAAAATTTCGGATTTGAGTATTATTCGATCACGTGTAAAGCCTTTTCACACGTTTCTCCTTTGACAGGTACGATAGTATTACAAATGATAAATAGTAAATGAATAAACTCCTTCTATTTAATTTTATTTCTTTGGTTATTAAATAAACTTAGGTCATTATGCTTAAGATTTTAAATTTCTCTACTCATCAGAAATTCTAATTCCATGTAACAAGTAAAGTCCATGTGAGAGGAAATACTTATCCTGTAGATCAAGTAATGTCTTCAAAACTTGGGTGTTTTAGAGCATCTACAATGCAATAGTCTCTAGTCTAAATAAAATATGTCAAATGCCAAAATTTTAAATGACTTTCTAATCTACATAATAAATGTGAATCAACTTCTAATTGCAATTTTAAAAACGTTTCCAATGCATAAAGTCTCAAGTGTAGATGTCGATTTCCTTATTAATTTTTTTACTAACGAATTCCCTATACGGAATTCGTTAGTTTTTTTATACATAAACCATCCGATAGTTTTCACTTTTCAACACAAACTTTATAGCATTGGTGCAACATAACCTTTTTCTATTTAATTTTCATTTCACCGACAATTCCTATAATCCATTGACGTTTTTATGCTCTGAGAAGGATAATCAACACTCTGAAGTGGGTTAATCAGATTCTCTGACAAATACTAGAAACAATAAAAATTTTAAAATTGTGAATTTCACCAACCAATGATATCATACGTGAATCATGATTGAATATAGTTAGAAAATCGAAGAGCGGTTCCTGTTTTGCTGAGTCATCAAGTTTAGGAGGATGTTTAAGTTTGGAAATCCTTCTTCACGGTGTGCAGTTTTGTTTTGCCAAATCAGCAAAATATGTTGCTAGACTAGAAGCGTTGGAAGGAGAAAAGAATAATGAATGTCTAAAATAATGATGTGTCGCACTATATCTAGACTAGACTACGGAGCATTGAGGATGCTCTTAGGATGTTTTTACTTGTATTGTAATTTGCTGGTCTGGTCTGGTCTGGTAAAGTTTGGTTTCTTTGTATTTTTATAATTATCCAAGTCTGGTCTGGTCTGATCTGAACTGGTCTGGTCTGATCTGGACTGATATGGTCTGGGACAAATTATAGTCCAAGTAAAAACATCCTACTTATTCTAATGAATTTATTACGTTTGGAAATCTTGATCCAACGCTGCAATATATGATCCTACTTAAAAACATCCTATACATTTAAAAGTTGTTTTTTGAAAGAAAAAAACTTATATTAAATTTATAGAGAGCTTCGCAGCTATTATCGACCAGATTAGTCGGATACCTTCCACATTCTCACAACACAAATCACCCACGATTTCCAATTATTAACCAAATAAAAAGTATAAGGTACCAAAAAATAAAGTTTGAACGAAAGATAGAGCACTAGAGCGCAGGTGACCAAATCCCACTGTGAAACATCGACCTCCGATCCTTGGCTCTTTCGGTCACTCCAAGGTGGTAGTTCAGGAGGGGGACGGGTCGTCAATACTTCGTCTTCCTTGTTCATCTCGACATCTTTTCCCGTCTCTGACCTCTTCTTGTCTCTTGCATCGCCGTTCATCATGATTGGGAACATAAATGCCCTTGCAGATATCCCTTGCACACCCTAAGGAATCAGATATCCCAAATGATGACTTCGATACCCCTTCAAGATCAATTCCATCTGAACGAGAATTATTGGATAGGCTGAATGAGACCAAAATTGCTACTATTTGGAAGAGAATGAACACTCGCAACAAATCAAAAGTTGCGCACGCGCTGCACTAATTTATTGGGTTTTGTAGTGTCTCATTCTTTTTTCTTTTGGTTCTTTTAGTTCTCTTGTATTGTTTTCTCTTTCCTTGCATTGTACTTGTATTCTCATTTTTCAATAAAAAAAATTCTTTTCAAAAGAAATAAATAACACATATATATGCCCTTGTTTCTTCCTGCCAAGATTTGCATCTCAGCCGTTGTGTTGCTCTCCATCTCCCTACTACTCGATCTCTCGCTGAAAAAGCTAAACAAAACTTAGATGCCGAAGACTTGGGGCAGCTTCAAACCCTGACCGGAGATCAAGCGTGGCTCCAAAACCCTAATGCAGGCATTCTCTTCCATTTCTAGAGAGAGAACGAGAGCTCTCTAAGTTTAGGCTATTACATTTAATATATAGTTTTTTTTGTTGCTTATCAATATATATAGGGTTGCATTATCTCATTATATAATGCCGATACACTTAATATTATTGCACTATTACATTTTCTATAATATTATTAAAATTATTTTTGGAAGTATCCTACCGTGCATCCCTGAAGTGACTTCCACTAAAAGGATAAAAACTTCAAAAGTTCAAATTTCTCACTTCTAAAACAAAACAAAAAAAAGAATACAAGCGATAATAATAAAGCCTAATAACTGGGTGCGGTCCAGACGGTTCATTAAATTAATAAAACTCGTATAGTGTTCCTGAAATTTCTAAGGATGGAGGCATTCGGTACCATGTCATTTTGGACCGGTACAAAACGCTACGGTAGAATGCCAAAACATGCTAAAAATATGAACAAATCTTGCAATTAGTAGATAACATCACACCAATCAATTCACATGAAATGTTGATATGAATACAAGAAATTGCATACGTAATACGTAGTACTAAAATTCACAAATACACAAATAGTTCAACACAATTAAGAAAGAATATAGCAATTCAAAATGATGATACATGAGATAAATACCATCTTTAATTTATTAATAAGTTCATGTGAAAATATAAAAAGAATATCATCAATTATTGAATGTAATAGAAAAAATCAACGTTTTTCTTTGTTCTAGGTTAAATATTAGTTCTAATTTAATTTATAGTTGAACTGTGAGATGTAAGATTGAAATCATACGTAGCATTAATTAGGAATTTTATCATTTAGGGACCTCAAAGTTGAGCATTCTATCATTTAGGAACCCGAAAGATAAACTCTATCATTTAGGGACCTATAGTATTAGAAGCATGTTAACGGTGTTAAAATTTTGAGCATTAAATTGAGAGATTCTAATACTATAGGTCCCTAAATGATAGAGTTTATCTTTCGGGTCCCTAAATGATAGAATGCTCAACTTTGAGGTCCCTAAATGATAAAATTCCTATTAATTAAGCTCTAAAATTGTACAAACATGATATAACAAAAAGTCATATATACTAATTTACTAGAAATGAATAGTCACTAATTACTTTTAAAACTTTAACATTCTTTCAATACATACCAAAATATAATACGGAGTATAAATTATCTAAAAAGAAAAATGAAAAATATACTACGTATATAAACACACACATTTAGCTATTGTAGGGACGCATGAATACATAATTGGCTAACTTGAGCTATAAAATTATTAGTCTATAAAAGAGATTTATTGGTATGGAAAAAATATAAAAATTTCAAATGCATTATTTTTTAACGGTCCGGTACACTATTTTTCGGTTATCTAAATCTAGGACCGACCGGTCCCATAGCCGTTTCAAACGGTACGGTTTCGGTTCGGAATAAAAATCTACAGAACCGTGTAAATACCCGATATTCGGTTCGGTACCATGCATTACAAGCCGGACAGCCGGTTTGGACCGATTGGGTTCGGGTTCTAATAGAACCGTTCTATGTCCACGCCCTTACTAGTACTATCATCAATATCCTGAATGCCCAGGGAAACTTCTTCGAGGAAACTTCTTCAGGATCGTCCTCCACCGGAGGAATAATGTCTACCAGGAGATTGCACTGCATATCGTAACGACGCATTTTGTCAATCACTTTGTCGGCGACAGCATTCATGAAATCATCGTCAATCTGCCATTTACGCAAATCCCGTGAATTGCGGATGAATCGGCGCTGGGACTCTTGTGAGTCCGATAGTAAATCGGCCGGCAAAGTGATGTTCGAGATCTGATCTTTCCAGGAGAATATGGGAGCCGGGGACAAAGCATTTCATGGTGCCGTCGTCCGGCCTGACTACAAACCATATATATATATATATATATATATATATATAGAGGACTTTTCATGTCCAGCCGGCCTGACGGGAACCGCCGTCCGGCCGAGGGCATTTCGGGCACTTCCCGGTGGAATTTTTTGATGAATATTTTTGAGCATGTTCCTCATCAAGTCTAGTTTATCCATACCAAATTTCAGCTAAAAATTCAATCGGGAAGGCACTCAAATAATTTCTTGAAGTTAACTGGGCAGTTCATACATATAAACTGCCCAGTTAACTTCACAAAATTATTTGAATGCCTTCCCGATCGAATTTTGAGCTGT